CTCCCCAGCGCCATATTGTGGGAGAGCAGATGCATAGAATAAGTCTTAATTCCAGTAACTTAGTCTAGTCTCAGTTGCTCCCCACAATTTTTAAAATGATTATCACTTCTGTGCTTATAAACCTTCTTATGACTTTCTTCTGTTTCTAAAATAAGTAAATCCTTACCTTTATGACACCCTAAATTATCTAGTTTCTGCATAAGTTGACATCTGTCTACTTCCCCAGAAACTTCTCTTCCTCTTTCCCTCACTCACTGCACCCTTGTTACATTGTCCTAAATTGAAATTGCCCCTTTCTCTCCTCAAAGTCTTGAGTCACTGGCCAGTGGCATGCAGAGGATAGTGTGGGATGAAGTGGGGATCAGTCAACCTGGACAAGTGGGAGTATTTCATCACTGACATTGACTAGGATGGTTAAGGCATGTGCATGATGAATCACTAACAGACTGACCTTTAGTTGGTCTCATTATTTTTCAGTTCTGTTTAAACAATTTAGCCCCTAAATTGCCTGCATCCAGTGCTGATCATTTCCTCACTCTGTGTTTGGCACTTGGCACCATGTATTCCCTTACTTTCCATATTGATGACTCCTGCTCAACTCTTGGGCTACAGTTTAAATACAACTTACTTAGGAGAGCCTTATTTGAGTGTCAAATTTAAATTTGGTTTCTTCCTTACAATACTATTGTCCTAAAAGTAGATCTTATCAAAAATTGTTATTATATATTAGTTTGATTATTAGATTTTAATGTGAATTTCATTAGTGTAGGCACCATGACTTTGATCTTTGACATTCACTTATAGCCCCAGCAGTCAGCAGAGTCTCTGGCACATAGTATTGAAGAACCTTAAAAATCAAACCAAGATGGAGTGAATTAAGCTAACACTATTAAAAACAAGAAGTCACCTTTGCCCCAAATAAAATTAAAGTTTAAAAATTATAGCCCTAAACCTTTTCCCCCAAAGCTAAAATTACGTGCAGCTGAAAAAAATAAAAAAATTAAAAAAAAAAATAAGAGACCCTATGCTTAGCTAGCTGCGACACTTGTGCCTGGCTGTGCTAAGACCTAACCCAGTTTGTATGCCTCCTAATACTCAAATAACGGTGTGGGAAGCGGGACGCTGCTCTCTCTCCAGGGGAACGAAGGGAGCGAGACGTCGTCCCCCTCAGGGTGAACAAGATGACGCTGACAGGGAAAGGAACTGCTAAAGAAGTAAACAACAAAATGGGGACGAGGTGCATGCCTCCCATGTGATCCCGTAGCTGATTGAATAGAAGACGCATGCCTTTCACATGATCAGCTCACGGATTGGACTGCTGTGTGCATGGACACTATAGTGCTTTTGATTGGTCGCTGCAGGTATATAAACCATGTGGCTTTGTGCTGGGGGCGCTCTCTGGACTCCCGAGTTCAGGAGGCCCGTCTGCGCAGACGCTGAATAAATCCTCTTGCTTTTGCATCAGCTGGTCTGGACTCTGAGTCTTTGGGGTGTGCCTCTCGACGTGTTAGCATCCTCACTCAGAGGGTCTAACAGTATGTGTTCAATACATATTTGATGAACGAGTGAATGGTTTGTGGAACTGGAGGTCATTAATTTTAATACAGGTCGGAAGAAATAGTACATTGAGGAGTGAAAGCTAGGTGAGGAGGTATAGACAAATCTTTTGAGAAGTCTGTCTATATGGTAGATGAGAGAGATGGGTGTTTTCAAGAGACAGATATGGAATTGAAGGAATTCTATTATGTTTAGGATGTTATTTTATTTCTAGAACAGGTTTAACTTCTAGAGAAAGGACCCAGTAGAGAGGAAATACATAGTGGAAACATGTACAAGTCTTGTTGAAACATAGTTTGCTGGGATGAATGTCCAGAATTTCTAATGAGTACTCTGGGGTGTTTCTGATCATTTTCAGTTCTAGCAAGCTCACAGGGAATGCTGATGCTGCAGTTTGAGAATCACTGAGATGCAACTTAAAAGAGGTTGGAGGGGTAGCTCTGGAACCCAGGGGAGGAAGAACATTCTCTCATGTAGGAGGGAGGAAGAACCAGAGGTATTGACCCAGGTAGGCTTAAAGAATAGAGAACTGCAAGTTGTCAAAACGTCCCTTTTGTGATTGGATTTTTTTTCATTATGAAGTGGGAATTGAGGTTATCTGATGAGAATCAGGAGGGAAAAAGAGGTGGGGTACGGTTTGACATTAGAGGAGAATAGGGAGGTTGGGGTGGTCCTGGTGGGGAGTGAGAGAATCGCATGTCAAGAGAGCACACCAGGTGTGTCAATCCACACAGAAGCAAAGGGGAGCTGGAAATCACACATTTGTATTGCTACCCATCTGTCTGCTAACTCACATTTACACCAACTGAATAAGGTGCAGGGACAATGAAATCCTTCCAGAGGTTGGTATCTTAGCATTATCTCAAAGTGTGAGTCTCCAACAAACAAGAGAGACTTGGTCTGGCTCAGAATTGTCTTATGCAAACCCAAATATGTCATCTTTATTCCTGGAGATGTCATATGACATCCTTCACTGCTAGTATGTTTCTGTTTATTAGTACTAAAGTTCAATTTTGTTGATTTGCTAACATTTTTTTAAAACAGCATGATTTTACATGGTGATATTACAAAAATTTCCATGTAAGAGATACACAGTACAAACCTTAACTTCATTCCTCACTCTTTTCTGTCCTATCCACTCATTGACCCCCAAGGAAAAAACTCTCATCGTGCTCAGTCTCTGACACATCATTTTGAGTTATGTTGGCCACTGGGAACCAAAAGTAACAAGAAAGGCAGAAAACTGGAACTGTAATTTACCTCTGTACAAATAAACATGCTTTCTGCTGGCTACGGTAAAGGTCAGGAGAGTTGGGATCTGGCAGGCTGACAAGCCCAGGAAGCTGAACAAATAGATAGTCTAGGGAGTGTACAGTCCAGAGCACCACCAAATCCAGGCTTCCACTGGGGAAATCCGTAATTGGCTACAAATGACAGAGGATGGGGACAAGGCTCTTCTCAGAACCTTAAAGAGAATGATGCAGCTTTCTAAAAAAAAGCTTTATTATTATTAGAGTCACATAAAACACTGTGAATTTTATTAGCATTGGTTCATTCATTTACTTTTAATGATGTCATCATTGGAGATGGAAACGCACAGAGATGATGCAAATAAAACAAGACCTGGTCAGGAGTCCAAGGATTGTGGGGGATCACATGGACATACGCCAAGACCTATCACATTCAGGTAGAGAAGGTTGGTGATTTGATAATTATAAAATACTGAAATGCTTTCATGCTAACTGGTGACTAGTCACAGTCCTGAACTCTTAGAGTGCCCCCTGCTGCCCCAGACTTCCCTGTACCATCCCCCTAAATGATCTAGCAGCTAAAAGGTTACTACCAGCACACCAAGATTTCCACTAGGATTGTTAATAGACAATGCCACATTGACTGTTCAAAGCTAACTTTCAACCATATATGTAGATTTATGTTATTTGGAGTTACCTGCATGTTACAAATTGCCTAATGAAGAATAATTTGCATCACTAGTCACAGGGGTCCTTGTCAAAAATGCAGATGTTTGAGTCCCACATACCATACGCACTGCATCTCTGGGAAATATGTGGCTGGGATGTGCATTTTGTGCCATCTCCTAGGTGATTCTGCAGTATCCTACAAAATACAGTCTACAGTTTCTGGCACAGAATAAATCTGTCTGCCCTGTCTTCTATCTATATGCCAAGTTCTTTGCAGGGAGGATCCTAAGTCCTAAAACTCTTTTTATTCACCACTATGTCTAGCTTTGTGCTTGTTCCCTGAAGAAGAGGGATCATTGATTCAAAAGTGTGTGTTCAAAAGACAAATTGGGGATGAAGACAATGATGAGCAATGGCTCAACCTTGTGAACGTTTACCATAAATCAGTATCAAGATAGATGTATTCTGTGCATCATCTAATTGAACCCACACGTAGTTCTGCTCTGATTTCCATTTGATGACATAGGAAGCTGTGATTCAGAGAAATGGAGGGAGTGTTCTGAATCTCATTATTGGGAGGTGGTAGGATTCTCTTCTTGGTTTTTCTGATTTCAAGACAGACATATTTTACTAAGACATAATGATTTTTAGATTAGAAGTCAAATTTTCAGATAATTTTATAAATCTGATTGTTTGGAATTGATCTCTTCAATTTGCTTTCATTTCAAATTTGTTTGCTGCATTTTATCATATATGTGGAGGGGAGGTAGGTATGGAAGATGAAGAAATTGTAGAAGCTATATCTCTGACTCACCAGAAACAAGGTAAAGAAAACTGAATATAGACAGTAGAGGGTATATAGAAATATTCCCCAATACTTTGGAACAATTGGAAGACCTACAGGAAAATAAAGTGAATGGAGCAGTAACTGCAACAACAAAAAAAAGAACACCAGAGTTATCACAAAACCTTGAAAATCAAGTTAAGAAAAGATTTTGAGGTTAGATCTAGAAAGTGAATAGTGAGAAAAGTGTGTCAAGATGAGAATCCATTGTGGAAAGATAATAAGGGCAACTGAGATTTTAGACCCTTAAGGGCCAGCTGATGCAGGACTTGACAATGGGTTAGACACACAGTCTGGGTGTGGAGAAAGGAGGGTGGTGGATTGGAAGGGTAACTGGGCTTTACATGCACTAAGATTTGATCTGACATATCCTGCCGGGAAGCCAGGATTAATGAGATCACACAGCATTATAATTTGTCTCCAGTTAAAGCATCCTTATGCACTGAGCTTAATGAAGAATAGCTAATTAACATCTACTGAACATAAAGTAAATAGGAATATACATCAGAATTGTCTTTTCAAGGCCAAAACAAACCCCAAATCAAAATCTGGATTAATGGAATCAGAGTGCTTATCTAGATTTCAGTTTATCAATCCTGGTGCTGTTTTTTTGGATACAGATAACTTCTAATCGTCCTTGATTCATTCGTGAAAACAGAGAAGACTGTATTTATTCTTACTGGGATCTGGGCAGAATCCCCACTTCTCATCTCTCTCATATCGGCTGGTCGTGGCGCACCACAGTGAGTCATCCTGCCGGCCTTCCCGGGTACATTCGTGATGCCACTGATGGTTGTACTGGAAGGGAAACATACACGGCGTCCCATGGGCATTCCCTTTGCGTGTATACAGATCTAGGAGAAAGAAGTGTGCAAAGTCAGGTAAGCATGACGTCAGCTTCATCTTTGGAAAATGCCAGAGAGTTAATGTATCTTTTATGGACTGAAAATCCCTGGGAGCAGGCACATCCCTCTGTAGAGGGCTGGGCTGAGTGGTAGGCCAGGTGCTACACTCAGAGAAAGTGGTGGTGGTTTTATTTTACATATTCATTTACTTGCGAATTTACTACAGCACACTGCTACAATAGCATACGTTTTTGTGAATGTATAAGAAGAAAAATTTAATGGAGATTATCTTTTAAAATATCTTCCATTCACCCCCAATAATGCAGCCATACACACACACAGCATCTAAACTTCAACAAAGGTGTTTATTCATTTGCTCATTCAGCAAATATTTGTGCTGCTTTTAAGGTGCCCAGAGCTGCGGATAAAGTAGTGGACAAACCAACGGAAGCTACTTTTTGTGTAGATCTTCTAATGCTGAGGGGACAAAGAGAAAGCAAAAGTACATATAAACATGATTTTAGGTAGTGGTAAGGGGTATAAGACAAATAAAATAGGGCATGAAGACAGAATGGGTGTGTGAGTGTGTGTGTGTACTTGTGTGTTTGCAACTGTGTGTGCATGCGCAGGTAGAGGGGCACTGTTTTAGGTAGGGCAGTCAGCATAAACCTCTCTGAACAAGAACTGGGAGAAGCAAAGGTACAAGCTTTTGGAAAAGAGTTGTCTGGCAGAGAAACAGCAAGTATAAAGTTCTTGTGATGAGAATGTGTGTGGAGAAAAAGAGGAAGGGACGGAGGATGGGTAATGGGTGAAAGAAGTTGCACAGTAAACCTTGGGGGACAGGTCTGAGGTTATGGAATGTAACTAAGTCACTTAATTTTATTGGTATTTTTTTTCTGCATAAAGGTGCCCAAAATAGCAGAGGTATTGAAAATGAAAGCCTTCTTTCCCACCTACCCCTAAACTGAGCTTCCCCACAAATCATGCTTGGCACACACCAAATAACCCCTGAGAGTAGTCTGTCCTTCATCTTCAAGTCCCTTGGGATATGACTGTCACATGGATGCCAGTCAGGCATCAGGGGCATCTGCAGTGGCCTGCAGACAGTCCTCCATATGTGGGGATGAGTTTCAACAATGAGAGGAGCGGTGGCAGGGAGGTTATTATATCTGTGTGGACAAAAGTCTTCACCACACAGAACATTTTCTTCCACCGTCCTTGTTTCCTCCCACCTTTCTCCCCTCTCCTCTTTTCCACTGATTCCCAAAACTAATTGGATGTCTCTCCTCCAGTGCCTTTACATCCTGAGATGCTCTGTTTAGCGAAATTTAGCACGTCCGTCCCAAGACTCCAGGAATCCTTTCACCAAGATCAAAGAAGCAACTAAAATGTATTCATCAGAAGTTCCTTCATGTTCTATGTACTTCTTCCACACAATGCTTACACATCCTTCTTATGGGTAAACGTAATGACAATATACCCCTCCCTCCAGGAGGACTTTGAGATTATTTTTACCTTTGTGCACATGCTGGCAAATGTCTCCACTATCTGACATATAGGATATCCACTTATGAAGACGCTTCCCCGAGGCCACGATGATGTTGTCCTGCTTCACCTGGACCGTGTGCTGCAGGGGACCTGTGATCATCTTTCTGTTACAGCGCCACCTCAAGGAAACGTGGGTGGAGTCACATTCATACAGGCCTAAGGGCTGCTCTGGATTGGATAAATTCAGGCCCAGGCAACCGCTGCCTCCGATGTTGAAGAGGTGCTGGTTTGAAACCCATTTCCACAGCATGTTCTTGTTTGGTTGCTTGCAGCTCTCCAGGGTCAGGACAGATTTGCCTGCTTGGATGCATGACTTAAGGCTCTCACTCTGGATGATGAATATCCCTTTCTCTGCAACAGAAAAAGAAAAGGGGTGGTGTGAAATTTTCACCTACAGTTATGAGTGTCATGAGGATCCCAGGGTGTAAGCTTTGCTGTGTTGCAGCTGCCAGTGTTTCTGGACAGATCTGGAGTCAATTGGTTGGGTCACGAAGGACTTTATTTGCACAAAACAGAGGAGTTTGTTGCAAAGCACGAAAGGACTTACTAGAGCTGATGAGACCTCTGACCTTAGACCTTGCTATGGCTTGAGTGTTCTCATAAAAACTCATGGTGAAAGTTAATTCCCAAAGTGAGACAATAACAGGTGAGGTCAGGTGGAGCCTTTCAGAGGTGATTAGGGGTATATATAATACGTTAGCTCGAGAGTGAGTCTGTTATAACAGCCAGTTTGGCTGCATCTCTGGAATACGCCCTCCCACCGCGTGAATACCCTCTGCAGTACCCTCCCCCAGCAAGGAGATCCTTAACAGATGCCAGTGCCATGCTCTTGGACTTTCCGACCTCCAGAGACGTATGTTAAATGAACCTCTGCTCTTTCGAAATTACCAGGCCTGGGGCCAGTATTGTGGGGTTAAAAGCCAGTGCTGCCTCTGGCCTCAGAATCAGCCCTAAAGGCATTCGGATCTGGCTGAAAAGCCCATGAGAGTATTTCAGGCATGGAAAGCCAAGACACTCTGGCAAAAAGATCTCTGTGAGTGAGATCCCAGTGGAAAGAACAGGTCTTCAAAGAAGGAGGTACCTTTCTCTGAAGGGAGGAGAGAACCTCCACTTTGACTATGACCTTGTCCAAACAAGATAAGAGTCGGAGAACTCAAGGGGCTTCCATAGCCTTGGAAACTCATGACTGGAGCATAGGGAGATTACTGATGCCATAAACAGGAGTGTCAATTTGTAAAGTCAACAACAGGAGTCACTGTGCACTTACTCCTCATGTAGGATCTCTGTCCTTAATGTGCTGTACATTGAGGCTTAATGCTATAACGAGTACTCAAACAGTATATTTCACTTTGTGTTTCTATGGGGGTGCAAACTGTTGAAATCTTTACTTAATGTATACTAAACTGATCTTCTGTAAAAAAAAAAAAAAAGAAATTATCAATTCCCAACTTGACTCTCACTGGGATTAAACATGACAATAGGTCTGATCTGATTTCATCATCATTTAAAAAAAATCATCTATTATTTTTCACTTTATGTTTCTGTGTGGGAGCAAACTGTTGAAATCCTTAACTTAATGTATACTAAGCTGATCTTCTGTATATTAAGATAATTGAAAATGAATCTCGATGTGAATGGAAGGGGAGAGGGAGTGGGAAAGGGGAGGGTTGCGGGTGGGAGGGACGGTATGGGGGGGAAGCCATTGTAATCCATAAGCTGTACTTTGGAAATTTATATTCATTAAATAAAAGTTAAAAAAAAAAAAGCCAGTGCTGCAACACCAGCATCCCATATGAGGGCCAGTTTGTGTCTTGGTTGCTCCACTTCAATCCAGCTCCCTGCTATTGCTCCTGGGAAGGCAGCAGAACATGGCCCGAGTACTTGGGTCCCTGCTACCCACATGGAGAGAACCGGGTCAGAGTTCTAGATTCCTAGCTTTGGCCTGGACCAGCCAGGAGTGAGCCAGTGGAGGAAGATCTGTCTCTTCCTTTCTCTCTGTAACTCTGCTTTTCAAGTAAATAACTAAATCTTAAGAAAATATTATCCAGTCTGTGGTATTCATTGATAGCAACAGGAAGTGGACAAACATAACCGCCTTAACCATACAGGAACCAGGGCTTCCTGGTTGGTCTACTCAGATATGGTGAGTGCTGGTTAACAATAGGAGAGGAAAGACACTGGGTGGCTGGGGATGTGGTTTTCTTCAGACAGACGCGTGGGTGTTAGACACATAGCAGCTGCATCAGGAGCTGCTGAAATGAAAATCTCTCCTACCAAGTTCCTGTGGGAAAGCAAAGGGACAAAAGTTGAGTTTGCATCCTCACTGAGGATTCAAGGCTGGTGAATGAACTGGGCTTCTCCACATCAGCTGTCTGTGCTGCACCCATTGGGAGTAGAAATATGGGCACACTTTGTCACTGGGGATAGACTCATAGGATGAGTAGCCCTGTAGGTCGGGACTGGCAGTGGCAGGTGGATGCCCGAGGCACCAGCTGGGACCAGCTGAGACCCCAGCTCCAGACATGCAGTGGACCCAGCGGTCCCATGGGAACATGGAGAAAGAAGGCATTTTGTGAAATCTCCCTGAGCTCTCCCCATGCAGCCAGGAGGGGTGACCTGGGGGAGGCTCCTGTGGAAAAATCTGGTGGGACTGAACCAGGGACTTCATGTTAGTTCCCTACCTGCTCCTGCCTTTACCTCAAGCTGCGGGCCTGGAAGACACTGATTACGCACCAGTTGCCAACTTGTTTCGTCACAGGTGTTTTGAAGATGGAGATCACGTCTTGTTTCTGTGAGCTAAGCACAGAGGGTACTGACCACTTGGCAGGAGGTTGACTGAACACAGCTGCTGCTTGGGCCCGTCATTGCCTCAGCTGTGTGGCAAGGTCCTGGAGCTCTTTTGTTCTCCCACTGGTGAGGCTCCCCTCTTAGGTTTCACTTTTGTGTATTTTTTTTATTTTTAAAGATTTATTTATTTATTTTGAGAGTCAGAGTGACACAGAGAGAAAGATTGATCTTTCCTCTGTTGGTTCACTCCCCCAGATGGCTGCCAAAGGCCAGTGCTGGGCCAGGCTGACGCCAGGAACCAGGTGTTACCTCTGAGTCTCCCACTTGGGTACAGGGGCCCAAGCATTTGGGCCATCTTCTGCTGCTTTCCCAGGCCATTAGCAAGGAGCTAGATCAGAAGTGGGGCAGCCGGGGTATGAATCAGTGCCTTTAGGAGATGCCAGGGTTGCAGATAGCTGTGCTACAACTCACTGGCCCTGCCTGGTTGTGGAAACTCTGAAGGTCCATTATCAGGCTTCCTTAAAATGGCTGGGGTGGATGTCTGGTGCATTGAGTAAGATGCTGTTTGGAATCCCTGAGTCCTGCATCAAAATGCCTGGGTTTGAGTCCCAGCTCTTTTCCTAACCCCAGCTTCCCGCTAGTGTGCACCCTGGGAGGCAGCAAGTGATGGCTCAAATAAATGGGTTCCTGCCACCCACGTGGGAGACTGGATTGAGTTCTCAGCTCTTGGTTTCTGTGGGCATTTGGGAAGTGAAACAGCAGAAGATAATTCCCCTTTGCCTCCCCTCCTTGCCATCTCCCTGCTTCTCCCCCCTCCCCCCATTTATTCTCCCCACCTCTTACTTTTTTCCCATCTTACTTTCAAACACAAACAATAAAAAATGGCTGGGGTATAGGGAAAGTCGTGCCATTGCAGTAGGGGCAGAGCAGGGGCCTCTGAGAGACTTGGGACAGTGCAGAAGGAGCCTCCTCAGGTATCAGTGCAAGGGAACAGTCCTTCATCTTGGTTCTTTTGGTTTTCTCAAAGTTAGGCTGAAGAGAACTGATTTACAGCAGGCCGAATCACTTAAGACACTGTTTAAAAAGACTGTCAATGTATTAATGAATGTTACACCTCATTGAATAATCAATAACCTTACTTATAGCCATGTATTTGAAGAATTGAATTAGTTGTCAGAAAATTTCTTTAATCACCATACATCAGAGTAAAAGAGAAAGGAGTTGGGTGAGTGGTTGGGGGAAAATGAATGGTTTTAAGGCTATTTCATTAAGATCAGGAAATTTGTTTTCCTAATGAAGGCCATGTCTGTATGGTTATTAGAAATAGTCATTCAAAATCAAATCTACCTCTCATCAATGTGATATGGACTCTGATAATTAACCTTCTTGCCAACTCTCTTTTTCACCTTTTCATGCTTGGGTAGAATGTTAACCTTAATTTCTGTTGTAATCCACTAATTACTTTCTGGCTAGCCCAGAGTTCCATTAATTTTTCATTAAAGGATAATTATTTTACTATAATGGTTCTGCAGTTCAGCTTCTATCTACTACATACATTCACATATACCCAGCTCTGCAACCTACTGACTGGGTCTCAGCCTATGCACCCGAGATCAGTGAGTAGCCCTGGCTAGTTGTTAAGAGCTCTGGAACTAGGCAGAGTGATTTCAGACCAGCTGTGTAAAATTGGGGAGATGGCTTGATCTTGGTGAGCCTTATTTTTCCAATTTGAACTGGGGATATATATAATCCTATTATGGTCTTGATAATATGTTGATGGTTCCCCCAAAAGCGAATGCACTGGGGGTTTGGTCTCCAGTGGATTATTGTTAATGGTTGAAGGATTAATGGTTGGAGGGTTGATCCAGTTATGGTGTCTGGGAGGTAGGCCTATTCGCTTAGTTCACTGGGGTGTTGTGCTAAGAAGGTAGTTCTCCCAGGAGGCTGTGTGTGTGTGTGTGTGTGTGTATAAGTGTATGTGTGTGTATGTTCAGCTCAGTTTCTCTCCGCTGCCTGGATCACCATATGATCCTTCCTCTTCATGAGCTGCCCAATCCTGGACTGGGAACTACTAAAAGTGTAAACTGAAATAAACCTTCTTCCTTCCTAAATAACTCCCCTCAGGTGTTTTAGTGAAAGTAATGCAAAGCTGAAGAATATGGATACTGATCTCTCAGGGATGTTAAGGATATTCCATTAAATAACTCATGCAATGCACACCCCACATTACCATGGGAAGTAGGAAGATACCACTAAATATGGGTTGTTCCAAGTATCTCTTAGGCTTCCTGATTCTTGGACGTGCAGTTGTAGATCTGGTGCTAATATGAGCATTCCCCCACAAGTTCTCTTTTTCCTTTATTAGCACAAAAGCTTATTGTTACTTTAACTCCTGCAGCACACAGCAGGTACATACCTTTTAGCTATAAACAATCCTGAAACACCGTGCTATCACATTTTAGGGAGAAAAAATACCTTCCAAACAACCAGAACACAAAATCCGGTCTTGTTGTTCAAACACATGTGCAATTATGAGCTAAGAGTCTTTATCTGTTGATCTTTCA